ATTTTTTATATATTCTATTCAACTTAACCAGGCCCCTTTATATTTTTTACACTGTCTTTGTCACTATTCCTATTTAACTATTTAAAGTGCTTTATTAAGTGTAAATTATTCAAGTAATCTTAAAAAACTGTTTGTTGTAGCATTATTAGGCTAATATATAATCTAAAAAAGCTAATAATGATGGATAAACCTATTAATAATTTTGATCAGTCTTTCATTTATATTTTTTTATTGATATTTCATATTACAAGTCTATTAAATTTTACAATTCTTATTTGTATTTTTATAAAAATATTAGATACCAGATCCAGTTCTTCAAGCATATTCAAATGATTAAAGTTTTAATGAATATATACTATATTTCAAGAATCATGCACATCCAAACTCCTACCAAAGTTTTAATGAACACATACTATATCCTGAAGATCATGAATATTTATACTCAAAAAATCAAGACAAATTAGAACAAGTTCTCTTGCTATATATAATAGCTCAAAATAATAAGATGAATGAAGAAATTCAAGGTTAGTTGGCCAAAAAGTTAGTATAATACAAACTATTTCTTAACAATGATTATAACTATTTTAATTAATCATAGTTGAACAATATAGATTACAAGAATTAGAGGATAGCTTAAGTGTTAATGATGCTGATGGTCAAGAATATAATAAAAATAGAATTGTTTTACAAGAAGGTGATACTAAATTACAAAAATTGGAGAATGCTTGAGTGATGATAATAATGATAGTTAAGAATATAATGAAAATGAAATTGTTTTATGAGAGAGTGATGTTTTTGCCAACTGGAAGGCTGTTTAAATTGCAGTAAACATATTTGCAAAACAAAATAGATTTGTAGCTAATAAATATCGAAAAGATCTTGATCAAGTTGACAAAACAATTATTTGGTGTTGTGACTATTATTGTTAGAAATCAGGAGTTAACTATGTTAAAAAAATAGAAGATATCAATGTATATCGTAATAAACATTCTACTAAAACAAACTGTCAGTAGATTGTTTCATTTTATTTTGAAAAAAAATCTAAGCAGATTCATATTACAAAAATTAATAATGTTCATACTCATGAATATGGACCAAAAGCTATTGCTTTTGCACCCAAATATTTTAGATTACCTCAAGAAATAATTGATTAGATTGAACATTATACAGTTGTAGAACAATTAGAAGCAGGACAACAGTATGATCTTTTTATCAAAGAGTTTTCTGAATTTCAAATACGCCACAAAAATTTATATAATACAATGCAAAAATTTTGTTGATCTAAAAATCATGATGAAAATGATGTGGCAAAACTCTTACAAAAACTTTTTAAAAAATGTGAAGCAGACCCAAACTTATTTATTGTTACCTGATTAAAAGGTCCATCAAATGAACTTATTGAATTATTCTGGATAATGAAAGAACAAAGATATGAACTTTGGCCTCAATTTTGAGATATTATCATTCATGATAACACAGCTAAAACAAACCGATTTGAGATAGCATTAAGTCTATTTGTAGTTGTGGATAACTATTTCAAAACACTTATTGTTGCTCAGGTATTTACAAAATATGAAACCCAATCAGACTATGAATAGATTTTAAAATGTTCACTGAAGGTGACAAATAAGTTGCTACCTATCATTTTTTTTACCGATAGAGACCCTGCCATGATTGTAGCAATTCACAAAATATATACTACAAGCTAGCACTTATTATGTATATATTATATAGGTCAGAATATTAAAAAAAAAGCAAGAGTACTATTATTAACTGAAATGGCAAAAGCATTTATTACAGATTTTTTCAAATGAGAAATAACTTTAGTAAAGATCAATTTGATATGTATTATCAAATTATGTTAACTAAATATCCATCTTGTTGATTCTATTTAGAAAAAACTTTTTTTAACTCGTGATGTGTGGGCAAAGTATGCTATTATAAAGGTTTTTACAACTGGTATTAAATCAACTTAGCAAGTAGAATGTTTAAACAATGTTCTTAAAAAGTATCTCAATCAAGGAACTTTACTTACAAAATTAGTAGATATTATACAAAAAGAGTTAGAAAAGGAAGCTTCATATACTAGGATTAGAGACTATTATAGATTAAATCTTTCTGTAGGTTTGTTGTCAACTTATAATACAATTTTTAAGTCTGTTGATCAAGTTTTGCAAACATTGCTTTTCCTAATTTCTCTTTCTCTTCAATGTGCACAAATAAAACAATCTTTGTTATATGTTGCCATTTTAGTTGATTCAAATGAAGTAAGAATTAATTAAAGTATACTTTTAAATAAAATTATATATTTGTTAAATACAAAAATTAATTGAGTTGTAACTTTAATTTACTTATTATTGAATAAAATTTTATCTTTATTATAGATTCATAATATTGAATATAACTGTAATGAATTTATTGAGTATGATTATGAAGTATTTCAAATTCGAATTAATCAACTCCTAGATAGTATTTTATCTGAACATATTTGTGAATTATAGAAAGTTACTTATATTGCACCCAATTTTAAAAATACTCCTAGCTTTCATTATGTTGTTATACTTCATGACTATACTATTCTTTGCACTTGCATGTATTTGCTTAATCAAGAAATAATTTGCCACTATCAATATCGAGTTTTTATTCACTCAAGTAATGCTGTTTTCATATATCTATAATACATTCACGATAGTATAATGATAATGCTCAAATCAAATCAACTGATTATATTACAATTTCAATGATGTTATTAATTTGACCAAAGAAACACTATTTTACTTTGATCATATTTGAGCAAAATTTGTATATATATCTGCGATTCAAGACCATGTCTCTAAAAAAATACAATTTGGAAATGCTATATCAATTGCAAAAACTTGTATTCAAACTGCAATTAATGAAGAAGCTGTTTCAGATTTGATTGGTGTAATGGTACAATGGTAAATAAAATACCAAAATAGTACAGGGCTTGGACTATTATCATCATTCTCAATCAACTACAATAAACACAACTATAAATCTTACAATTATGAACAATGGCAAGATCATGAAAATCAAAATTGTGAACAACATTATGATTATAAGCAACAGCATGATAATGAACAGTATCACGATCAAAAACAATCATATAATTATAGAAATTGCAATAATGAGTTGTATGGATATAAAAATCATAATCGTGAGCTTCCTTTAAAAGAAGTTAAAATTAATTCTTATTTGTCTGAGATCTCAAATCTGGAACATCATAGGCCAAAAGGCATCCACCCAAATGACTAAAATCTTCAATTAAATCTAGTTTTAATAAACATACTAAATCATTAGTAGATCCTCAAGATACTATAACTCTTAAAACCTGTAGTCATTGCAAGAAAAAGGTTACAATATTAGAAGTTGCAAACAATATAAAGTAGTTTGTGAATCAAATAAGGAGAATTACGTTATGATTAGAATTGGCTATAGATTAAAAAATTAATATCAGTATTGTCTATTGTTATAAGATTACATGAGTATTTATTTTGCAATAATATGCATATTTAGCAGTTATTTATCATATATTTTATACTAACAATAACAATATCAATATAGTCACTATTAAGCTAGTATTATTAAATTATAGTTAATCTTCTATAATTATATCTCTTATAAGTATATTTCACATATATTTTATCTTCATAAGTGTATCAGCCTAATATACAATCTGATTTTTCTAAATACAACTCTGAAATGCTAAATATTAGTTTTACTCTAGCCCAAGTATATATTATACTTCCATAAATATAATTTTTTTATTGTTACTTAAATGCAGGCTATTAAATATCTAGTTCTTATGAGTTATATTTAGAAAAATTTGATTGTAATTTATACAATACTATATATCAACTGCTTTCTGTAAGTGTGCTTTTATAAGTGCTTTTTTTGTGATAACATGCACTTATACGTAACAGATTGACAATGAATTGTTCATAAATTGTGAATAAAGTTGTGAATTATAGCATTCTTATGTCAAATTAAAATATTTATTAGATTAAAATTACAATATCGAGTTATATTTTGAAGGCTTTATAGGTTAGAGTAAGGATTTGGAGGTTAATAATATTATAATTATTTTAATTCGATACTTAAATTTGATATAGAGCTACTTTTATATAGCAATATTATAATAATTATATGGTATATATCAATTAGACAAAATTTGTTATTATGTAACACAGATCACGTGATACTGGTAGCAACTACCACTGGTACTAAATAGTAATTTCCAAAATATAATTATAAAAATATTTATATCATTTATTTTTTTAAAAAAATTGCAAAATTTTGTGAAATCTTGTGAAATATTGTGAAATATTGCAAATATGTTTAATTATATTTTACAAAATATTATGAAATTACTTTTGAAAAATTTATAAATATTTTTGAAAATTTTTGAAATAAATTGCACAATATTATGAAATAAATTACATAATATTTTGCATCAATCGTAATTCTTGCAGAAGTTTTTGGGGTATAATAACTTATGTGAGATTACATTTATAAATTTTTGCTGATGCAATAAACTTTACAAGGTATGATCCACGTGCTTTAAATGCTTCCACAAAAGTTAAATAAGTTGGGTCATAAGGAATCAGCTCTATTATATGGATGTAGCTATCTTGGTACTTGTTAGCTAAAATATTAAAAGTGCATGAACTGTTTTCATTTGATTTTGTTTGTTCGTTCTAAATTTATAAGAAAAAATTTAACAGAATAATTGCTCAAGACCGAATGAACATTTTCATGTTAGTTATAAGTTATACTGATCTGTAATTTTATATAAAATGGTATTTGTTATAAGGATTATTATTACATTTCTTATACATTAACAATTAATACCTATACTACAATTATATTCAAATCATCAAAACGGGCTTAAATTTTAGGTTTTAATTATTTTGGGCTCTTCTTTGTAATAATTTTCAAATATCGGGTTTCTATCAGTAATTATTTCATTTTGGTCTCTTATTTGTAATTATTTTCGTTTTTGGCCCTTATTTGTAAATTCCCCTAATAGTTATTTTACATTTTGCAAACTATTAATTATCGTTGGCCACTGTCTACAGTATCACCCAAAAATAATACCCACGTGATTAAGACCCAGGCATTATTCACCACCCTTACTGGCTTGTTACTTGAATAAGACCCGGTGCAGATTCATGTTGATTTACTACTTTTAATATAATATGTCCAAATATAGTACCCGGTTCTTCACACAGTACCCACGGATATGATTCAATTTTAAAAATAGAGTTTTTAAATAATACCCTGGATACTATAGGCAGTGGCCAACGGTAACTAAACCCAAAAATTAACAAATTAATATATTATTAGAAAAAACTTAATTAATTTTGTGTTATGTCATTTTTTTATTATACATTGCTTCTTTAAATTTTAATTTTAATATATAGATTCTCTTTTTTTGCCTTTTATTGTAAGAAGATTAATAAAGTGAATTGAATACAATCTTATAATTTAAAAAGGTGAGTTTTAAGCTATAGTATTATCTATAACAAAGAATGTATTGTATTATTTACAGACAATTAAATAATCCACTAGGTAGAATGAACACAGCATCAAACACAGTAACCTTCTAAAATATTTTTTGCATCTTATAATAGAATGGTTATTTCCGCCTTATCTTTAGCATGATTTACAGTTATATAAACATGATAGATATCATATTATAAATTATTGTCAATGATGAAAATGATAAATTTCTAAGATAATAAAGGCATTTACCTAAAAAAATTATAAATAGTTTATAATGTTTTCAAATCTGATAACCTGTCTATTGACCATGCATATCGATTTTGGAAGATTCAATGGTACATTATATATGACATTTGCTTTATTGATATGACACGATTGTAATTTAGTAAATCATATTTTGGTTTATTGGTATAGTACGTATATACATATATGCACTTAACGGAAGAGAATAGTCCGTAGTACGGTCATATGCAATGTTTTATGCTTAAACGACCTATAAAAGTGATAAATTACAAAGTAAGCAGAAATTTAAAATAATAAAACCTTATTTTAATGCCAGATTTGAAATCCATGATAAAAACATAATGTATACTAAGATGTTGTAAATTTCTATAGAGTAGAAAGTGATTTTATATAATTTAACTTTATTTGTAAACATTTGCAATGCACAATTTATTGAGATATTTTAATGTTTGGATTATTAGATTTTATAATAAAATAAATATCATTATATTGAATATCCAATTCTTTCAGGGTATTGTTCTTACAAAGTGTATTTGCTAATGCTTTTCCTCCAGATGATCCAAGTTTATTCCATAAAAGATTCAAAGAAATCGACATAGTATTCTTGCAAAGCGCATTAGCCAATGCTTTTCCTCCTTCTAATCCAAGTTTATTATATCGAAGATCCAAATCTCTCAATGTAGTATTTTTGCAAAGTGCACATGCTAATTCTTTTTCTCCTTCGAATCCAATATAATTATAGTTAAGACTCAAAGAAGTCAATGTGGTATTCTTGCGAAGCGCATCTGCTAATACTTTTCCTCCTTCGGATCCAAGATTACTAGCACCAAGACTCAAAGAAGTCAACGTGGTATTCTTGCAAAGTGCATTTGCTAATTCTATTCCTTGTGATCCAAGTTTATTACGGAAAAGATTCAAATCTTTCAAGGTGGTGTTCTTGCAAAGTGCATCTGCAAATGCTTTTCCTCCTTCTGATCCAAGTTTATTATCATTAAGATTCAAAGAAGTCAGTGTTGTGTTCTTGCAAAGTGCGTCTGCTAATGCTTTTCTTCCTTCTGACCCAATTTTATTGTACCCGAGGCTCAAAGAAGTCAGAGTAATGTTCTTACAAAGTGCTTTTGCTAATGCTTTACCTCTTTCTGATCCAAGTCCATTATTGCTAAGATTTAAAGAAAACAGAGTGGTATTCTTGCGGAGTGCATCTAATATTGTTTTGTTAATAGCTGTATTGTTAAGTACTAAATATTTAAGTATTTTACTTGCTCGCAGAAACATTGCAACTAAAGAGCGTTTGATGGCATTTTCAAGTTCAATTATTTCGAAAAATTTTACATTATATCCATTAAATTTTTTGAGCCAAATTTCAAGCCAAAGGTTGACTCCATCGGCCAAATAAGAACCAACAGATGTAGTAAAACTTGCGTATTCAAATAATGGCCTTGGATAAGTTGGAAGAATAATTTTAAACGGAATAAATAGAGTTTGCTCTTCGGTATTTAATGCTAAAAGATAAATTCTTATAAGTCTTTTATTACTGAAATAATTTGTAGGTTCACTCCATAATATTGGTACTATAAGCCTACACCATTGACGATTTACAAGAAGGCAGAAAAATAAAGTTTTATAATTAAGCCGAAAATTATTAAATATTTTAATAAGGCATTCATTTGGTAGCATCATTTTGAAAGAACAATTTAGTTTAATGTAAAAATCGGATTTTGCCTCCGTTTATATAACCAGTGTACAGTAGCCCCCAAAAGTAATGCCCAAAGATCAATTTTATAGTAAAATATATATATAAAATCCTTTTTAGGAATTTTCCTTTTTAGAAAAAAAACTCAATTTTTTTGGCACTGGTGAAAATTATATATCATAAAATATAAATATTAAATTTTCTAATCATATAAAATCAAAAAATTTTTATTATTAAAACTTTGGATTTTTAACGATTTTAAAATTTTTGATTTTTACTATGTTTTTACTATGTAAATTTTGTAAAATTGAATTGTAAATTGAATTTTATCTTTTTTCGCATATGCGATATATTGCTACCCCCCTGTTACACAGATCGACATTATATAAACAGATAAGTATAGCTTTTTTTTTTAATTGGCTTTTTCTTTT